ACAGACTGTTGAGGGTTCAGCCTCCTGATGAGTCGGTGAAACTCCGACGAAACAGTTTGTCACAGCCCCTCGTTTGTTGTCCTCTTCTCCCTATCTGCCTACGGTTTACCGGGCAGTTCTATTTGACGATATATATGACGATATATATATTTGTGACGATATATATATCGTCACAAACAGAACTGCCCGGTAAAGAGAGAAGAGGACAACAAACGAGGGGCTGTGACAAACTGTTTCGTTGGAGTTTCACCGACTCATCAGGAGGCTGAACCCTATATGAGTCGGTGAAACTCTGACGAAACAGTTTGTCACAGCCCCTTGTTTGTTGTCATCTTCTCTCTCTCTGCCTACGGTTTACCGGGCAGTTCTGTTTGTGACGATATATAGGTTTCAGTCTCCTGATGAGTCGGTGAAACTCCGACGAAACAGTTTGCCACAGCCCCTCGTTTGTTGTCCTCTTCTCCCTCTCTGCCTACGGTTTACCGGGCAGCTCTTTTACCGGGCAGCTCTGTTTGACTATGATGAGTCGGTGAAACTCCGACGAAACAGTTTGTCACAGCCCCTTGTTTGTTGTCCTCTTCTCCCTCTCTGCCTACGGTTTACCGGGCAGTTCTATTTGACGAGATATAACATCCTGGTTGGTCCTGTCCCGTTGTTTGGCCTGTGGGCAGGGGCGGTGCTTGCATGTGGGACTTGTCATCTGGGATCTGTTTTGTTGCCCCCTGTTCTGTTTTATTTGGCTGTTCCCTTCCTCTCTTCTTTGCCCCGTTGCCTTTTGGCTGTGTGCAAGTGGGTCGATATGACACACGGGGGTGGGGGCAGCCGCCGCTCAACCTACATCCACGTGGGCGGCCTTGTACGCAAGAGGTGCTGAACAGGGGGAGTTATAAGGAAGAAGATAAAACTGTTATGAACTTGGTTGTCTGATGATTTTTACCGCCACTCACACAGACAATCTCATACACGCCCATACATGCATAAGAGAAGGGGGAGAGGAGACAGAGTCCAGAGTCCACACTGCACACAGATCAGAGTAGGCAGCGGAATACAGCTATGCACAGATGGGGAGAAGACACACAGTGTTTCTCTCTCTCTGACACACTCCCAACCACCAATCACAAGTAGAACCGGCAAGGATAACAATTGAAATTACACTGATGATGAGCCAGCTCAAACAATTATCGTAACAGAGTTTGTTCCAGTATCTCGCCACTCTCAGAACTCACACCCCACTCTCTATCCTACACCCAGTTAGTAGCGCCACATCAGAATGGCCTCCCAGAGGCCAGCGCCAACCACCCTGATGAAGAACAGGTCCTGCGATGAAGTCTTCAGTGTCGATGGACCACTCTGACGAAGGAACAGGCAGCTATGGCTGCCACCACCCACGAATACACAGTGTAGAGCCTCGATGTAGCCCGGCCAGACGCAGATACCCCAAGGGTAGATGCGCTGAGGATGCCCCAGCTATGGCAGACTCAGACTGGGCCGACTATGGCTGCTGTCAACGGCGAGGTCTCAGGATGCCGCCTGCAGACAAACACCGCCACCAACTTGCTTGGCTTCTCCAATGCTGCTTCGCGAGAAATGAAGTGCCAAAAGTCCTGAACCGATGGGCCTAACCTATCTATAGACTACACTAGACCTAGACCGGACTGACTGACCGACCGGTACCGTTGCTGTTTCGGCCTCTCGTCTACCGGACCCGGCTATAGGCTATAGGACCGTCTATCAGCATAGGCCACTTAGGGCCTGTCTGTCCTAGGGGTAGCCCGGGCCTGCTATAGGCAGTTAGGGTAGCTGTAGGAATTCGAGTTAGTACTGGGCCTATATTTTCCCAGATTTGCAGATATGTCCCTCACGAATTTCCTCACATATAGGTCTCTCGGTTAGCCCTCAGCCAAACAAAATTACGAATCTAACCCTACCGGTTAGTGTACAACCTTGCAGTCAGTCTCAGCAGTCAAAATCAGCAAGTCATTGCAAAACACTGAATTCATTTTTTCCTGTTTTTCTTTTTTTTGCATTTGTGCTCTGATATTCATGTGACAATATATATATATGACGATATATATATATATATAAACCCTAAACCCTAAAACCCTAAAACCCTAAACCCTAAACCCTAAACCCTAAACCCTATATATACGACTATATATATCGTCAAATAGTTCCATCTGGTGTGGGTGAGTGATAGTCTACTTTGATTTTGGTTAAGGTAGATTATCATTTACAGTGTAATCAGTGAGGGGATTCTGCAGACTGTTGAGGGTTCAGCCTCCTGATGAGTCGGTGAAACTCCTACGAAACAGTTTGTCACAGCCCCTCGTTTGTTGTCCTCTTCTCTCTCTCTGCCTACGGTTTACCGGGCAGTTCTGTTTGTGACGATATATATACGATATATATATATCACAGGTACCTTGAGGGCAGTGGTTTGTGCCCACCTCAGGGTATCAGTTGTCGGGCAGTCGTTGAAGATCACTTACTGTGTAATGAGTTAGGGGATTCTGCAGACTGTTGAGTGTTCAGCCTCCTGATGAGTCGGTGAAACTCCGACGAAACAGTTTGTCACAGCCCCTCGTTTGTTGTCCTCTTCTCCCTCTCTGTCTACGGTTTACCGGGCAGCTCTGTTTGACGATATATGTATCGTCAAACATAACATATATATCGTCAAACAGAGCTGCCCGGTAAACCGTAGGCAGAGAGGGAGAAGAAGACAACAAACGAGGGGTTGTGACAAACTGTTTTGTCGGAGTTTTGACAATGTATATGGAGTTCAAAGAAGAATGAGAAATTTAATGGTTTCAATCTGCCCTTGTTTTTTCTTTTTGTTTTTCTTTTTATTTTTATTTTTGCATGTTATCACTGTGCCCGTTTTTTGCTTTTATTCTTTGTTCCGCAAAGTGCGCTCTTTTAGTTTGTAGTGATGTGACAATATATATATCGTCAAACAGAACTGAACGGAACTGCCCGGTAAACCGTCGGCAGAGAGGGAGAAGAGGACAGCAAACGAGTTTCACCGACTCGTCAGGAGGCTGAACCCTCAACAGTCTGCAGAAAAAAATCCCTGACTGATTACACAGTAAGTGATAATCCACCTGACTGTGGTTAAGCATCAACGACTGCCTGACAACTGATACCCTGAGGTGGGCACGAACCACTGCCCTCAAGGTACCTGTGTGACGAAAATCAAAGCAGGCTATCACTTACCCGCACCAGATGGAAAACTCTACAGACTGTCTGTTCACACTGCATCACAGGCCAGCAAAACATCCACGGAACAAAGAAAGGTCTATCACAGCCAGAAAATACACTCCAGACATATATATTCTTTTTGACGATATATAAACCATAATGTCTGCTTTCGGATTCCCCTCATTACAGGATGGATATGTGTCTATGTTTTCCAAGAGGTGCCACATGTTTGATTCGATCAAAGCATTTTGGTGTGAGAGGAGGGGGAAGGAGGAGGAAGGGAGGGAGGAATGGTCAGTGTGGGTGGGTGGGTGCAGTTCGAGGTAAACCCTCGCACCACCTATTAACCATGTGTGTCACAGTCGGACTTTCCGGGATGTATCTGACCACCGACAGGCAGATTCTATCCAGAAAAAAAGGGAAAATTGTACCCTACCTAAAGATGGGAATACCTGCTATACCCAGTCCCAACGTGAATTTGCATCTATACCCGGACCACATTCAACTTTGCATAGTACCCATCTTTTCACCTGTGTTCAAATTGTAGGCATACCCAGTCGCGCAGGCGCTCACTTCCAGACCACAAAAACATATGCTCATGCCCAAAAACCGGGCTGGCAAAATTGTGGGTGTACCAGACGAAGTGGCGGGGCTTGGATGTTGGGGCACGAAATTATGCTCATGCCCACCAAGTGGACCGCTGTGGCCCAATGGCTGCTGGGTATGCGCATAATTTCAGCCATCTGGTAGAGAATTATATGAATGATTTGCCCGGTCCACCTCAGTCCCGGGTATGCCTGGGTATGTGCATAATTTGTGCATTCCGGTAGTTGGCTATGAGCGCAATTGTGCGGTGCCAACCTTGGTCCACCGCAGTCCTGGACATGCAAATAAATTCCACCGTCAGTTTTTTGGGTATAGATGCAAGTTGGCGCTGGGACTGGGTAGAGCGGGTAGTCCCATCTTTAAGTGGGTACAGATGCAAGTCTCCCCATCCCCCCTTTCCCCCCCCCCCCCCAAAAAACACACACACACACAAAAAAAAAAAAAAAGAAGAAGGAAAAATTGTGCAAGTATGCTCTCATTCTCATCTTTTGGAACAGATGGTGCGGTGTAGGGGTCTTCTTCAGTCATCTGGCAAAGTTCTGATGGTGATATGCTCTTTAGAAGTGCGCCGCCTCTAATCCCATCTTTCCCTGTCGTTTGTGTCCTTGTGAGCTGCAGACAATTGATTGGGGGAAAAAAGGGAGGCTCAACGACGGCAGACTAGTCTGGGGGAATAGCTCTTCATCTCCCTTCTGTCTAGTATCACATCCTCTGTGATCATCCCATCTTCGCATGCTTCAAGTGGCCACGAAAAGCTGTACATTAATTAGCCCCTGGAGGTGGATCTCTCAGCTGTCTTCGTGATGATGTCTTGCAAATTATTCTTTCTTTCTGACTATTTTGCTGAACCGAAGCTGAAGGCTCTCGTCTGCCTGGGAACCATCTGCAAACGGTTTCAAAGACGCCTGTGGGAGGTGATTAGGACCCCCTCGATAATAGCGGCCTGTTTAAAGGGGTATTTGTTGCTTAAAGGGTGACCACGGGAGCACCCTGCCCAGGGGGAAAGGGTTTTCTGTCTAAGAGGTGAACGTTTGGAGGGAGGACAAGAAGATGCAAGAGGGGAGGAGGAGGAGGATGGGAGGAGAAGGAGAAGATGAAGAAGCAAAGCAAAGACAAGCAGATGGTTGACCTAATGACGGTCTTGTGGAATCAAAGACAGAAATAGAATGCCCAGGGGGAAAGGGTTTTCTATCTGAGAGGTGAACTTGTGGTGGGAGGAAAGAAGATGCAAGAGGGGAGGAGGAGGAGGATGGGAGGAGAAGGAGAAGAAGAAGCGAAGCAAAGACGAGCAGATGGTTGACCTAATGACGATCTTATGGAATCAAAGATGGAGATAGAATGGTGACATGGAGATCGAAAAGTTAAGGGAGGGAAGCTCCTTTTGAGCTGTGTCATCTGATCTGTTGTTTTCACATTTTCCTTGCAATAACCACAATACCCTTGTGTCGGTCAAGAAAAGCAAGGCATGTCTTTGGGTGTGGTAGGTGCAGCCTGCTTACAGATCCCGCGCCACTCGAACTTCCCCCAGCCAATTTTCTGCAGCTTCCCTTGAACTTTGCGGTATCGGAGTTTTTTGCTCATGTTCAGCGGGTGGTTGGGGTATGGGAATCCGACCAGTCTGCACTGGCTGCAGGGAGGTTCTCTTGTGCGAGAGCAGGGAGTTTTGACATCAAAGAAGAGCTGACTTGGAAAAGGAGAGAAATGATGAAAGCGGCAGTGGTAGCGGATGGAGTAGCAGAGTGCGAGGGAGAGGCTACAATGCTGCTACGAACAGAAAGCAGAGAATAATGTTGCAGCGGCGGTTGCAGTGCAGGGGGTGTGAGAATGTGACTGATGTGACTCAAGGAGGCAGAGCAGGAAGCAGAGGAAGAAGAGGAAATCAAAACAAAGGAAGAAGCGAGGAAGGCAGAGGAGGAGTAGGAGTAGGAGTAGGAGTAGTAGTAGTAGTAGTAGGAGGAGGAGCCAACTGAGTGAATCGAGCTTTGGTGGAGCAGAAGGAAGTAGGAGAGGAGAAGTAACAAGGAGGAAAAGGAAAGGGGGAAAAGAGAGTGATTCGGCCCTCCTGCAGTAGATCTCAATGCAGGGGAACAGCGCGATTGTGGCCGAGGGGTTATGGCAGCTGGCGAATGATTTCGAGGCGGAGCAGCAGATTCCTCAAGCCGTCATGTGTTTGGAGGCTATCTGTCAGAGCAACACACCTTTTCTGCCGGAGATAGAGGTGAAGACGCGTTTGCGGATTGCGACATTGCTTTTCGAGCATACCGTCAACGCCACCCAAGCGAAGGCACACCTGGAAAGGGCGCAAGTGCTTTTGAAACAGATTCCGTCTTCTCTGGACCTCAAGTGCAAGGCGCAAAGCCTTCTGAGCCGATGCTATTATCTGATCGGAAATGTGAAGCTTCAGAAGCAAGCCATCAAGAGAGGCCTAGAGCTGTTGGAGGGGGCTTCACCGTCCAGTGGCAATGTGTCGTATGTTTGGTCTGCGAATTTCCTTTTGCAGCTAGCAAGTGCTCACATTACCGAGGGAGATTGGGCTACAGCTGTGAAATGGCTGGAAGAAGGCCGGCGTTTCTCCGCAAAGGCCGGGAGGCTAGATCTTGAGATGTTGTTCGTTAGCGCTCTTCTTCATGTGGGCCTGATGAAGTGGGACCGCCAACAATTTCTCGCTGACGCAAAGGAGGCATGCCAAGTCATCTGGAACAGAATACCCCAGGAGCAGAAACGAGCATACAAAGGTCTCGAACTCTACTTTGAGCTGCTGGTAGTGATTTACCTTACCAGGGTCTGTCGGTACAATGAAGCGCTGCAGCACGTCAACAAGCTGGATGGCATGCTTCAACGAGAAGAGCTGGAGAGTGGTGGGCCAGGAGGACTGCTGGCTTCTGAACCCTTGGGTCTAGATTGGCTACGTCCCCCAGGGATGGTTGTGATGATCGACCTCATGGCAGCACTGTGCCTGCGTCCAGGCAAAGGGCTCAAAGAAGCACTGAAGCGGGTGAAAGCTGGCATCAGCATTGTGCGAAGGGAGCTTGAAAAGCTGGGAGTGGGCACTAACGTCACTGAGGGTGAGCTCCAGCACTGGGTGATTTGGGTGGCGGGAACGTACCTTGTTCTTCTGTTAAATCTGCTTGACAACAAGGCGCTTATAGAGTTGACGAGGACGCATCTCTGCGATGCCCAAACGGCGATTGTCGAAGTCATGGATCTCATGCGCAGGTATCCGACTATCCTGGATGTGTGTTCCAGCCAAGTTCATGTGCTTGTTGGACAATATGCACACAGCCTTGGATGCTTTCAGGAGGCTGTCGTGCACTTTGCAGAAGCTCGCGAGGCAACAGAGAATCGGGAGTTGCAGTCATTGTGCAGCATTTACGGAGCTCTCTCGCAGATGTGCATCGATATGGATCCAGATTGCAACAGCAAGGCTTTGGACCTTATTAACCCCATTATGAGAAATATGGATTCATTCACGGGGAGTCAAGAGAAATCCAGCTGCATTTTGGTCTCCGGCATACTCTCGTGGAAACAGCAGAACATGACCGAAGCGAAGAACAAACTCACGTCCGGACTCCAGCTTACTCATGGCCTCCTGGGCAATCATCAGGTCACGTCACAGTATTTGACTCTCCTAGGCAATATCGCTCTGCACTTTCGGGATCCCCCACAGGCTCTCAACATCCTGAAGTCAGCCCTGACAATCGCCCAAACCCAACACGATCTTCCCATTCAGCTCGGCATCATAAGCGAGCTCGAGATGTTGTATAAGGACGTCGGAGATACTGCCAAGGGTGGAGAGAATGCTGCTTTTCAGAGGCAGAAGATGGCAGACTTTGTACATAAAGTCAATGCAGCCAAGTCAACTCCTTACCATCAGCAAATTCTACAGTATCGTGGGAAAGACGCATAGCCAGCTTCAAGGACAACTTGTACACTGCGAACACAGTCTAACCAGAGTTGTTGTCTCTGGCCCTCTAGAGCTGCAGTCATCATTCTGTTAGCTCCACTTCTTCCGTTAGTAGCTGCAGGCTGCAGCTGTTCTGTTAGCTGCACTTCTTCCGTTAGCTGCAGGCTGCAGGCCCTCTAGAGCTGCAGTCGTTCCGTTAGCTGCAGGCTGCAGGCCCTCTAGAGCTGCAGTCGTTCCGTTAGCTGCAGGCTGCATCCTGTTAGCTGCAGGTCTCCCAGTTAGCTGCAGTTGTTCTTGTGGATGTGGTTGTTCTGTTAGCTGTTATAATACATAGCCTTGTAGAGCTGCAGTTGTTGTTCTGTTAGTTGTTAAAATTGCGTAGCCCTGTAGAGATGCAGTTCTCCTGTTAGGTGTTAGGATGTCTCTGCTAAAGACATGTCCCTCTCTTCTCGAAATGTAGGTTTTTTTCTCACTTGCCACTTTCCATTCTATTTCAGAAAGTGCACTGGGGGGTCTCCTCCCCACAAGCCCTTGCCCATTCCCATGCCTCTTTCTTTCTCTCTGTGTCTATCTCTGTCTTCTGTCCCTTTTGTCTGTTTGCTGGACTGTCTGTCAGTCTGTTGGTTGGTCGGTTGGTGTCTGTCTTCCCCTCCCCACAAAACCTTGCCCATTTCCATGCCTCTTTTCTCTCTCTGCGTGTATCTCTGTCTCTGTCAGTCTGTCTGTTGTTGGTCTGTTCGTCCATCAGTTGGTCTCTCTCGGTCCCCTCCCACAAGCCCTTGCCCGTTTCCATGCCTCTTTTCTCTCTCTGCATCTCTGTTTCTGTCTGTCTGTCTGTCTGTTTGTCAGACTGTCTGCCGCTCTGTTGATTGGTCTGTCATTGTCTGTCTGTGTCTTATTGGTCTTGTCACTCTCTGTCTGTGTCTATCTGGTCGACTCTCTCTCTCTCTCTCTCTCTCTCTCTCTCTCTCTCTCTCTCTCTCTCTCTCTCT